CTTCAAAATGTTTTCTGCAGATTGATTTATTGTTCTTATATTTGCACAAGTTATCAACTCAAATGTATTTAGGTTACAAAACTGAGGACAAAAAGGATAACAGATAAAGTGCTTCAGTGCCATTAATGTTTTTTTTCATTGTTTTAGTTCACAGTAATCTAATGAGAGAACTTCATCAAGTGAAAAAACAAAACCATGAGTCTGAGGGAGAGAAAGAAACCCTGAAAGAACAAATAGAAAAGCTGAAGGAAACTCAGAATGAGCTTAATGTCAGCAGAGCTCAGTGGAGCATTGATGAATACTGTCCTAAAAGAACAAATGGTAAGAATAGATCTCCTGATATCTAAAAGCAACAGACAATAACAGCATTTTGCTGCTAAACATGTTCTTGTTTATCTCTGCTGTTTAAGGCGGAAAGTGTTCGCCATGTCAGAGAGGCTGGAGACATTTCCAAACCAATTGCTATACATATCTTGATGTACCGTTTTTCCATTGGAGAGACTGGGATGAAGCACGAGAACACTGTAGAGCAAGGGTTTCTGATCTGCCGGTCGTAGAAAATGATGTGGAAAAGGTAAACAGCTTCTGTTAAATTAAACTAAATTTTGTCAAGAAAATGTTAAACATATATGTGCAGTTTTTAAATCTCTGTCTATGTTATTGTCATGTCAAACATAGGGTGAGATAATCAGCATATTAAGTCCTGCTATAATGGGCATTACTGGATACTGGATTGGCCTGAGAGCTGTTCAAGGAAAATGGAAATGGATCGACGGGACTGAACTGATCAATACGTGAGAGACACAAACATTCTTATTCTATGATTGGTCAAATTAAGGAGTTTATATCTAACTGATGTTTCTCATCAGGAGCTGGATAAAACACAATGCAACTGATGGTCAGTGTGTGACTGTTCTCAAAGGCCAAGAATGGAGATCAGTTAGCTGTGATGAGAAGAACGCCTGGCTCTGTGAGAAGAAGGCTTTAACTGTTAATTAGGTCACATTTAAACTTCTAAAAGAGATTCAAATCTATTGAACATACAAATCTGAGTGTAAATTAAAGTACCATATTGAGAACAAAATTTGATTTTATCATTTTACTATTTACATATCCACATTTACCAAGGGTTCATTTTTATTTTTTGTCTTTTTTCGATAAAAAAAAAATCTTAGTATATTAAAAGTATGTATTTGTTGTCCATTTTTTTTATCAAATATCGAGTAATTATGGAATAAGGGAATATGTTTTAAGCACTGTGCATCTTCCAGTATATGAAATCCTACATGTGGTAAAATCTGCTGCATAGACTGAAAACAGAACCATAATCCACATTAATGTTCCAAAGGAGATGCTTTGTTGTGTCTCTGTTCTCCTCTCTGTACTAACGTCTTCTAATTTAAAATGTCTGTCCACATGATTGTCCCTCCATTCTAAGCCTTATGTGCTGTGATTAGCTTCGCCATAATGAAGAGCAATAAAGGAACTAAACATTTATACAAGAGATGAGTGCATTCTAATAAGAAAAATCTCAAGGAAGGTTTTCTGTATATGCTTTTGCTACAGATTAAGTCTTATTAATTTATGTTCAAATCCAGAAAGAGAGCGAATTTTTTTTTTTCAATATATATACACTCAACGGCCACTCTATTAGGTTCACCTTTCCAACTGCTCGTTAACACTTAATTTCTAAGCAGCCAATCACATGGCGGCAACTCAGTGCATTTAGGCATGTAGACATGGTCAAGGAAATCTGGATGATGGAAAACCGAGCATCAGTATGGGGAAGAAAGGT